TTCAAAAATTTGCGGACAAAACATTAATATACAAAAAAAAGTAGGAATTTTTAACGATCAAAAATTTATTAGAAATGCAAAACCACATAAATTGAGTGCAATATATATTAAATTTTTCTAAATAAATTAACATAATTTGTAAGCTTGATGTGTCATGAACATATTGCCATAAACTATCCACAGCATCTTTTTTACACTGAGCCAGTTGATTAATATATCAACTTTAAAACATGAATTTGACACTTTTGAAGAATTCTTGAACGGATTTGACCAAATGTTAGGAATTGTTTTCCTAATGTAAAGTCCATGGACTTTACATTAGGAAAACAAGGCAAGAGACATTTTATCCTTCACATGAGGTAACACTTACATGTTTTTGTATATTTCTTAATCAATAGTTCAAGTATACCAATGAAGCAGATCAACACACAAATAAAACATCTAAAAACCATTACAATACCTCCTCTGTGTTTTACGGTAAGCAGTTGGAATTTAAGATCTTAATTTGTATCTACTGGATGCCAAACAAAATATTTTAGTTCGGATCAGATTTCATTTGATCTGAACTTCGCAAACTTGTTTTCACTCCAAGAAGGATTATTTGAACAAAGTTGAATACTCCAGTTTAGATGCTGTAATGCTAATTCTTTTAGGGTTTTAGTTTGCCAGTTAAATCAATGGCTTTTAGGCTTTGCATCTTTGAAACATATTTGCATGTTGCAAACAACATTTTGTATTAGAAATTTTAAAAATCATTGGATAAATACATTTCGTTTAAATCAATAACTATCAACTGGGGTTTCATGAGTGTTTTTTTATCCTGTTAAAATCAGGTCTTCCTGACTTCTTTCGAATCTTTGTGTGTCCTGTAAATTCATATTTCTTCATAATTAGTACATCAGCAGACTTACCAGCTCCATAGAATTGTGCTGTCTTAATAATGTCTTATAATATTGATTTAAACCGAAGCTCCATACACACACACACAAACACACACACACACACATATATATATATGTATATATATGTATACATATTTATTATATATATATATATATATGTATATATATATATATATATATATATATATATATATATATATATATATATATATACATATATATATATATATGTATATATATATGTATATATATATGTATATATATATGTACATATATATATATATATATATATATGTATACATACATATATATATATATATATATATATATATATATATATATATATATATATATATATACATATACATATATATATATATATATATATATATATATATATATATATATATATATATATATAAAACCCTCCGAATTAGGAAAAACGAGATATATATATATATATATATATATATATATATATATATAATATATATATATATATATATATATATATATATATATATATATATATATATATATATATATATATATTATATATATATATATATATATATATATATACATATATATATATATATATACATATATACATATATATATATATATATACATACATATATATATACATATACATATATATATATATACATATATATATATATATATATATATATATATATATATATATATATATATATATATATATACATACATATATATATATATACATATATATATATATATACATATATATATATATATATATATATATATATATATATATATATATGTATATATATATATATATATATATATATATATATATATATATATATATTATATATATATATATATATACATATATATATATATATATATATATATATATATATATATATATATAATATATATATATATATATATATATATATATATATATATATATATATATATATAATATATGTATATATATATATATATATATATATATATATATATATATATATATATATATCAGCAATAATTTGCTGACCTCAATCTTTTAGATGTCGGCATAAGGTCGACAAAAAAAATTTGATAGAAAGGTCTCATCATAAAACAAAGAAATGATATCGATTAATTTTCAACCTCAAACACTTTATGGTTGGCAGTTAGGTTGGCATTGCAGAATGCTGACCCTAATTCCAAGGGCTATATATATATATATATATATATATATATATATATATATATATATATATATATATATATATATATATATATATATATATATATATATATATATATATATATATTATATATATATATATATATATATATACATATATTATATATATATATATATATATATATATAATATATGTATATATATATATATATATATATATATATATATATATATATATATATATATATATATATATATTATATATATATATATATATATATATAATATATATATGTATATATATATTATATATATGCATATATATATATATATGCATATATATAAATACATATAAATAAATAAACATAATTAGAAAATGCATATTCTTCATAAAGTTTAACAAACTAACTGTTAAAAGGTGTAAAAGTAGTTGTTAATGTTGTTGTTGTTGATGTAGTTGTTGGAGCAGCAGCAGTTGTTGTTGTTGTTGTTGGAGCAGCAGTAGTAGTTGCTGTTGTTGTTGAAGCAGCAGTTGATGTAGTTGTTGGAGCAGCAGTTGTTGTTGTTGTTGGAGCAGCAGTAGTAGTTGTTGTTGTTGTAGAAGCAGCAGTTGATGTAGTTGTTGGAGCAGCAGTTGTTGTTGTTGTTGTTGGAGCAGCAGTAGTTGTTGTTGTTGTTGTTGAAGCAGCAGTTGATGTAGTTGTTGGAGCAGCAGTTGTTGTTGTTGTTGGAGCAGCAGTAGTAGTTGTTGTTGTAGTAAAAGCAGCAGTTGATGTAGTTGTTGGAGCAGCAGTTGTTGTTGTTGTTGGAGATTCAGTTGTTGTAGTTGGGGCAGAAGTTGTTGTTGTCAAAGCAGCAGTTGTTGCTGTGGTTGGAGCAGCAGTAGTAGAAGTTGTTGATGTTGAAGCAGCAGTTGATGTTGCTGTTGGGGCAGAAGTTGTTATTGTTGGAACTTCAGTAGTTGTTGTAGGAGCTTTAGTTGTTGTTGTTGTAGCTTCAGTTGTTGTTGTTGCAGCTTCAGTTGTTGTTGTTGCAGCTTCAGTTGTTGTGGTTGTAGCTTCAGTTGTTGTTGTTGCAGCTTCAGTTGTTGTTGAAGGAGCTTCAGTTATTGTTGTAGGAGCTTCAGTTGTTGTTGTAGGAGCTTCAGTTGTTGTTGTTGCAGCTTCAGTTGTTGTGGTTGTAGCTTCAGTGGTTGTGGTTGTAGCTTCAGTTGTTGTTGTTGTAGCTTCAGTTGTTGTTGTTGCAGCTTCAGTTGTTGTTGTTGCAGCGTCAGTTGTTGTTGTTGCAGCTTCAGTTGTTGTTGTTGCAGCTTCAGTTGTTGTGGTTGTAGCTTGAGTTGTTGTGGTTGTAGCTTGAGTTGTTGTTGTTGCAGCTTCAGTTGTTGTTGTTGTAGCCTCACTTGTTGTTGTTGTAGATTCAGTTGTTATTATAGGAACTTCAGTTGTTGTTGTTGTAGCTTCAGTTGTTGTTGTTGCAGCTTCAGTTGTTGTTGTAGGAGCTTCAGTTGTTGTTGTAGGAGCTTCAGTTGTTGTTGTAGGAGCTTCAGTTGTTGTTGTAGGAGCTTCAGTTGTTGTTGTTATAGATTCAGTTGTTGTGGTTGTAGCTTCAGTTGTTGTTGTTGTAGATTCAGTTACTATTATAGGAACTTCAGTTGTTGTTGTTGTAGATTCAGTTGTTGTGGTTGTAGATTCAGTTGTTGTGGTTGTAGCTTCAGTTGTTGTTGTTGCAGCTTCAGTTGTTGTTGTAGGAGCTTCAGTTGTTGTTGTAGGAGCTTCAGTTGTTGTTGTTGTAGATTCAGTTGTTGTGGTTATAGCCTCAGTTGTTGTTGTTGCAGCTTCAGTTGTTGTTGTAGCTTCAGTTGTTGTTGTTGCAGCATTAGTTGTTGTTGTAGGAACTTCAGTTGTTGTTGTAGGAGCTTCAGTTGTTGTTGTAGGAGCTTCAGGTGTTGTTGTTGTAGATTCAGTTGTTGTTGTTGTAGCTTCAGTTGTTGTGGTTGTAGCTTCAGTTGTTGTTGTAGCTTCACTTGTTGTTGTTGTAGATTCAGTTGTTATTATAGGAACTTCAGTTGTTGTTGTTGTAGCTTCAGTTGTTGTTGTTGCAGCTTCAGTTGTTGTTGTAGGAGCTTCAGTTGTTGTTGTAGGAGCTTCAGTTGTTGTTGTAGGAGCTTCAGTTGTTGTTGTTGTAGCTTCAGTTGTTGTTGTTGTAGCTTCACTTGTTGTTGTTGTAGATTCAGTTGTTATTATAGGAACTTCAGTTGTTGTTGTTATAGATTCAGTTGTTGTGGTTGTAGCTTCAGTTGTTGTTGTTGTAGCTTCAGTTGTTGTTGTAGCTTCAGTTGTTGCTGTTGCAGCTTCAGTTGTTGTTGTTGCAGCATCAGTTGTTGTTGTTGCAGCTTCAGTTGTTGTTGTTGCAGCTTCAGTTGTTGTTGTTGCAGCTTCAGTTGTTGTGGTTATAGCTTCTGTTGTTGAGGTTGTAGCTTCAGTTGTTGTTGTTGTTTCGGCTGTTGTTGTTAGATCACTTGTAACCACAACTTGACTGTATGAAGTGGTAATAGTGATATTTGCAGCAACGATTCTAACAAATGTGGAGAAAGAAGCACCCGTCTGTAGAGGATTATTGGAAGGTTCAGGAACTATAAAAGAGACAAAATTTTATTAATAAAATACACGCTAATATTTAGTTGAAAAATATATAAATAGATTTATAATTCATTAAACTATAATTTATTTATTCATGCTTGTTTCTATTAAGTTTTAAAAGCTGTTAAACTTTTATTTTATTTTGTGAAATTAAGTTAAAACTTTAATTTAATGTTTAAATAAAAAAGTTTAAATAGTTTTCAAATAGTTTTATATTTCTAAGAATTATTAATCAAAATTATTTAATCCAAAAGAAAAAAAAAATATCAAAAAAATTTTATTTTTTTAATCTTATTAGATTTGATAAATAAAATAAATAATTAAATAGAAAATTAGAATAAAAATAAATAAATAAATAGAACTGCATTGATGAAGTTTTGGTTCTGGTTCTGCAAAATCCTCAGCAATTTTACATTTTTATCTTAAAACTGTTTATGTCCAACTCACTCTTTAACTAACTCTGTTTTTCATTTACTTACTGATGTTCTTACTATATTTTTATATTATATTTACTTATGTTCTAGCTTTTTTTTTTTATTAATTAATAATCTTTTCTTAAAACTTAAAAAGAGATTATTTGTTGATGATGCAATTATACATTCCACTATTGATGATGTCAACACTTTTAATTGCTATGAACAGAACACCAATCATAAATGATCTCTATGGTTTGTTGGTCTAATTTGACAATCCATAAGAATAAAAATTGATTAAAGTTTAAGTAAAAACTAGACAATCAGATTTTATTGGAAATCCTGTTAAGGGCTCTTGCTCTAGCTTCAATGCATTCATTCATTCATTCAAAAAAAATAAGCATATGTAATATGCAATATAACACACAACAAAACATTTCTCCAATTACTGTCAAGAAATCAGTAGCAAAACAAAGAGGGTTTTACTTTATATTACATATTAAATTTTTACAATGGGATAGTGGGAAATTAAGTAATCAAATTCATGTTGAGATAATAATAGTTGTTTTTTAATTTGAATACTCAAAAACTTTTAAGTGGCAAAAAGATAATAGAATATCTTTGAATTGGAGTCTACAAAAGAAAAAAAAAAAGCTATCATCTCTGCATAAATATAGATAACACAAAAAGAACATTTTTCAGCAAAATATCAATAGACGTCAACCCAAGAACCATAACACAAAGTAAATCGTCAGTTTTAAGATGATTTTATAAGGTATGTTAAATAGTGATAAAGAAAAAAGACTTGTGAGATTAACGCATTGTTTGCTTAAATACTAACTAGCAAAGCAATTAGAAAAAACTGGTGTTAATTGGTTTAATAACAAAAGATATAAGTTTCTTATAAATTTAACCGGATCAGTTTTAACAAAAAGAATATCAAAAATAAAAATGGAAGTAAAATAGTGTTGAGTTAATTGATGTACAATTGTTAAGTTAATTGATGTACAATTGTTAAGTTGATCTTATGATATGGAGTTTGTTATTAGAACTAGCTTCCCTGAGAAAAATCACAAGCTTAGTGAAACAATACATTCAGCTTTAGCTTTACTTTGATTTGAAGAAAAATATTTTTACAGCTGGCTAAAGTAGTCACAAATCGAATCCTGTAAATTGAATCAAGAACATCCTGCATTACCTATATATGGTTCTATCATAATATTGTTCTATCATGAATTAGATGGAAACAGTAAAGCTATGACTATTAATAAATACGAGGCCTAAAACAGATAAGACATATATAGTCATAGAGAATGGAATCTAAAGTTAGAAAATGATAACCAGTAAAAAGAGAGACAACCAAAACAGATGTTGATTTTGCAATTAATTGGATAGGAAATATTGGGGCACTATAACACATTTTTGGTTTTTGCTTGGTAAATATTTTTTTTAATTTTTTTTTTTTTAAGGCTATTGGTGCAAATCTTAGACTAAACTTGAATCTAAGTAATTAAATTCATTAATTACCAAAATATAACCGGTTAAACTTGTCAGACTAAAGTTAAACTACAAATTTGTACCCATGGTTATATTAGTACAACTAATAAGCACCATTAAAAAAGTCACACACATTATCAAACTTTTTTTCAACGGTTTTGCTTAATGGAGCAAAAAGATGGATAATAGTTTACAAAACAATGGTACTTACTGACAGACACATTGAAAAACTTAACAACTTTAAGACCTAATAAATTAAATTGACATAAAAAAAACACAAAGTTTGACCCCTCACCCAGGCCTAATAATACCTTATTATATAGTTTTTTTTGTCAAAGCATAACTTTAATTGTAAAAAATGTTGTCAAAACTCTTAAGGTGTCTCCACAATTGCTATGTTTTATGGTGTATGTGCTATAGTGCCTACATACTCTCCTACATGATTTTCTTAAAAGGTTTGTGAGTAGTCAAAAAGATTCATAAGACAAAAAGTAGTAACCTTAGTAAAAGTAATACCATTCATCAAAATATTATTATTTAATCAAAGTATTTTTATTAGATTATTGGGATGATTAGTGCCTGTAAACAAAGATTTAGCACTATTATGCACAGTGGTGGTTAATTAATATTTAACATAAATTAACAAAAATTTTTATAATCATTTCCCTTCCTTTAAGTTACAACTTTCTTCACAACTCTAAATACAATCTCTAAATAAACTCTCCAGTTTTTAGTAACAACTCTAACTTAACAACCAAGGACGACATCTGAAAAAAAAATTGAGCTACATCAGCACTTTTATAATTAAACTCGCCCCAGTAAAATTGTGATAAAGGTCAAAATTATAGGTGTTATGTTTATTTTTAAATATTTTGAGTTGTTTTACTATTTATATATTATAATTTAACTATATGTACATAATTTAACTATATGTAAATATTTTCAGTATTCTATTGCACAAAGAACAGAAGCAAAGACCAAAACCATTTTTTTAAATTGCAGATTTTTGTTAGTTCATGGCAAAGTTTAAATAATTTTATCTTTGAAACTGCTTGGTATTAGATGATGAAAATTTAGGCGATGTTCATAGCTTATTAAAATCTTTGAGTAGTGTAAAAATCAGCAAAACCTGAAACTTATGGTTGCATTTTATGAAAAAATTGGATGTTTTCCTTTTTCAGACTCAAACAAATTACAGTTTTAAAGTTTTCTGTCAACTATTTCCTCTCTCTAAAACTCTGTTCTTTCTTTACTTGTAACTCCCAACATGCAATAATTTTTTATAATCATAAGTAAAAAATTTAAATTTAATTCAATACACTTATTACTACTACAGTAGAATCCCGTTTATTTGGACCTTGGATAAGTCGAGCTTTTACTTGAGTTAGAAAGATTTTCAATTTCCCTTAAACTTCTATATCAACTTTCTATATTTCACAAAAGATTATATAATTCATAATATATATAAACATAATATTTATATAATAAAGAACATTTAATAAATCTCTACAATGCAAACACTTTAAAAAGTCCGGTATAACAAGAGCTTCGCATAACTCTGATATTCACAAAGTTAGAACTGTATATACATACATATATATGTATGTATGTACTGTATATACATACATATATATATATATATATATATATATATATATATATATATATATATATATATATATAATATATATATATATATATATATATATATATATATATATATATATATATATATATGTATATACAAATAGTATATACATACCCCTCTGAGAGTCAACACAATTCTACTGTATTTACTTATGTTAAAAAATCATATTAATTCATTATATATTACTATTTTATTTATGTTATATGTTTTACAAATTATTTTTTTTTATATATTAAAAATTTTAAAAATCTTTTATGAAAATGCAGAATACAAAATATTTTAAAAAATTTTTAAAGTTATTTTATTGTATAAACTTTATTCATTATAACAATAACAATATAACATAAAACAGCAAGTAAAAAATAAAACAGGTAAATACTTGTATCTCTTCGTTTGCGTATTGATCCACCTCCAACTGTAAATGGTGTATTCACATTATCTGGGTATAATATCCCTACTAAATGTAAACCATCAGTATTATTGCTAATTTCAATCCAAGAGTATGAGGCTGGGTCCCTTTGAGGAGGACATGCTTTACCAGAAGTGCAAGCAACCAAAATAATGTAATATCTATAACAATTAAATTCTATCTTTGCACTCTTCATTTATGAAATAATTAAAAACTAATTATCTCATAAACTAATAAAAACATTCTAATAAATAAATAAAAACTTTTTAAATAAAATTTCATTTTGAATGTTTAAAAAAAAACTATAAAAATAAGGAGTTTTAACTTTCCTAGCCAAATTAATACAATATGTCAAAATCAAAAAATATAAAATATAAATAAAATAATATATAAAAAAACCAATGATCAACAAACTAAATTGAAAGACAATGTTACATTAGATAAATTAGGAAGTATGACATTAAAAATTAAATATTAAAATTAAATATTAAAAAGAATGAACAACAAACAATAAAATATTCATATATTAAAACTCATAACAAAGGTGTAATTAGAAATATTATTTTTCAAATGTAAATAATAACATCAAAATAAATACATTCGATAGAAACTAATAAAAATAACCATTATAAATAATTTTGTAGGAAAGCTTAAATTAAATATTAAACAAAATAAACTTACACAGCATTATCATAGGTTACTCTGTATTTGGAAATGCTGATTACAAAGGATGTAGATGATACAGAGAGAATAGATTGAGCTAATGGTGTAGAAGCTTCAGTAGTTGTCATTATTTCAACTGTTGTTGTAGATTCAGTTGATGTTGTAGTTTCAACTGTTGTTATAGCTTCAGTTGTTGTTGTTGGAGTTTCAGTTGTTGTGGTTGGAGCTTCAGTTGTTGTGGTTGTAAATTCAGTTGTTGTGGTTGGAGCTTCAGTTGTTGTTGTTATAGCTTCAGTTGTTGTGGTTGTAACCTCAGTTGTTGTGGTTGGAGATTCAGTTGATGTGGTTGTGGCTTCAATTGTTGTTGTAGTAGCTTCAGTTGTTGTGATTGGAGCTTCAGTTGTTGTTGTTATAGCTTCAGTTGTTGTGGTTGGAGATTCAGTTGTTGTGGTTGTGGCTTCAACTGTTGTTGTAGCTTCAGTTGTTGTTGTTGGAGATTCAGTTGTTGTGGTTGTGGCTTCAGTTGTTGTTGTTATAGCTTCAGTGGTTGTGGTTGTGGCTTCAGTTGTTGTAGTGGTAGCTTCAGTTGTTGTGGTTGTAACCTCAGTTGTTGTGGTTGGAGCTTCAGTTGTTGTGGTTGGAGATTCAGTTGATGTGGTTGTGGCTTCAGTTGTTGTTGTAGCTTCAGTAGTTGTGGTTGTAACCTCAGTTGTTGTGGTTGGAGCTTCAGTTGTTGTGGTTGGAGATTCAGTTGATGTGGTTGTGGCTTCAGTTGTTGTAGTGGTAGCTTCAGTTGTTGTGGTAGGAGCTTCAGTTGTTGTTGTTGTTTCAGCTGTTGTTGTAGCTTCAGTTGTTGTGGTTGGAGCTTCAGTTGTTGTTGTTGTAACTTCAGTTGTTGTGGTTGGAGCTTCAGTTGTTGTTGTAGTAGCTTCAGTTGTTGTGGTAGGAGCTTCAGTTGTTGTTGTTGTTTCAGCTGTTGTTGTAGCTTCAGTTGTTGTGGTTGGAGCTTCAGTTGTTGTTGTTGTAACTTCAGTTGTTGTGGTTGGAGCTTCAGTTGTTGTTGTAGTAGCTTCAGTTGTTGTGGTTGGAGCTTCAGTTGTTGTTGTTATAGCTTCAGTTGTTGTGGTTGTGGCTTCAGTTGTTGTAGTGGTAGCTTCAGTTGTTGTGGTTGTAACCTCAGTTGTTGTGGTTGGAGCTTCAGTTGTTGTTGTTGGAGATTCAGTTGTTGTGGTTGTGGCTTCAACTGTTGTTGTTATAGCTTCAGTGGTTGTGGTTGTGGCTTCAGTTGTTGTTGTAGATTCAGTAGTTGTGGTTGTAACATCAGTTGTTGTGGTTGGAGCTTCAGTTGTTGTGGTTGGAGATTCAGTTGATGTGGTTGTGGCTTCAGTTGTTGTAGTGGTAGCTTCAGTTGTTGTGGTAGGAGCTTCAGTTGTTGTTGTTGTTTCAGCTGTTGTTGTAGCTTCAGTTGTTGTGGTTGGAGCTTCAGTTGTTGTTATTGTAACTTCAGTTGTTGTGGTTGGAGCTTCAGTTGTTGTTGTAGTAGCTTCAGTTGTTGTGGTTGGAGCTTCAGTTGTTGTTGTTATAGCTTCAGTGGTTGTGGTTGTAGCTTCAGTTGTTGTAGTGGTAGCTTCAGTTGTTGTGGTTGTAACCTCAGTTGTTGTGGTTGGAGCTTCAGTTGTTGTGGTTGGAGATTCAGTTGATGTGGTTGTGGCTTCAGTTGTTGTTGTAGCTTCAGTAGTTGTAGTTGTAACTTCAGTTGTTGTGGTTGGAGCTTCAGTTGTTGTGGTTGGAGATTCAGTTGATGTGGTTGTGGCTTCAGTTGTTGTAGTGGTAGCTTCAGTTGTTGTGGTTGGAGCTTCAGTTGTTGTTGTTGTAACTTCAGTTGTTGTGGTTGGAGCTTCAGTTGTTGTTGTAGTAGCTTCAGTTGTTGTGGTTGGAGCTTCAGTTGTTGTTGTTATAGCTTCAGTTGTTGTGGTTGTGGCTTCAGTTGTTGTAGTGGTAGCTTCAGTTGTTGTGGTTGTAACCTCAGTTGTTGTGGTTGGAGCTTCAGTTGTTGTTGTTGGAGATTCAGTTGTTGTGGTTGTGGCTTCAGTTGTTGTTGTTATATCTTCAGTGGTTGTGGTTGTGGCTTCAGTTGTTGTTGTAGATTCAGTAGTTGTGGTTGTAACCTCAGTTGTTGTGGTTGGAGCTTCAGTTGTTGTGGTTGGAGATTCAGTTGATGTGGTTGTGGCTTCAGTTGTTGTAGTGGTAGCTTCAGTTGTTGTGGTAGGAGCTTCAGTTGTTGTTGTTGTTTCAGCTGTTGTTGTAGCTTCAGTTGTTGTGGTTGGAGCTTCAGTTGTTGTTATTGTAACTTCAGTTGTTGTGGTTGGAGCTTCAGTTGTTGTTGTAGTAGCTTCAGTTGTTGTGGTTGGAGCTTCAGTTGTTGTTGTTATAGCTTCAGTGGTTGTGGTTGTGGCTTCAGTTGTTGTAGTGGTAGCTTCAGTTGTTGTGGTTGTAACCTCAGTTGTTGTGGTTGGAGCTTCAGTTGTTGTGGTTGGAGATTCAGTTGATGCGGTTGTGGCTTCAGTTGTTGTAGTGGTAGCTTCAGTTGTTGTGGTTGTAACCTCAGTTGTTGTGGTTGGAGCTTCAGTTGTTGTGGTTGGAGATTCAGTTGATGTGGTTGTGGCTTCAGTTGTTGTAGTGGTAGCTTCAGTTGTTGTGGTAGGAGCTTCAGTTGTTGTTGTTGTTTCAGCTGTTGTTGTAGCTTCAGTTGTTGTGGTTGGAGCTTCAGTTGTTGTTGTTGTAACTTCAGTTGTTGTGGTTGGAGCTTCAGTTGTTGTTGTTATAGCTTCAGTGGTTGTGGTTGGAGCTTCAGTTGTTGTTGTTATAGCTTCAGTTGTTGTGGTTGTGGCTTCAGTTGTTGTAGTGGTAGCTTCAGTTGTTGTGGTTGTAAGCTCAGTTGTTGTGGTTGGAGCTTCAGTTGTTGTTGTTGGAGATTCAGTTGTTGTGGTTGTGGCTTCAGTTGTTGTTGTTATAGCTTCAGTGGTTGTGGTTGTGGCTTCAGTTGTTGTAGTGGTAGCTTCAGTTGTTGTGGTTGTAACCTCAGTTGTTGTGGTTGGAGCTTCAGTTGTTGTGGTTGGAGATTCAGTTGATGTGGTTGTGGCTTCAATTGTTGTTGTAGCTTCAGTTGTTGTGGTTGTAACCTCAGTTGTTGTGGTTGGAGCTTCAGTTGTTGTGGTTGGAGATTCAGTTGTTGTGGTTGTGGCTTCAGTTGTTGTTGTAGCTTCAGTTGTTGTGGTTGTAACCTCAGTTGTTGTGGTTGGAGCTTCAGTTGTTGTGGTTGGAGATTCAGTTGATGTGGTTGTGGCTTCAGTTGTTGTAGTGGTAGCTTCAGTTGTTGTGGTAGGAGCTTCAGTTGTTGTTGTTGTTTCAGCTGTTGTTGTAGCTTCAGTTGTTGTGGTTGGAGCTTTAGTTGTTGTTGTTGTAACTTCAGTTGTTGTGGTTGGAGCTTCAGTTGTTGTAGTTGTAGCTTCAGTTGTTGTTATAGCTTCAGTTGTTGTGGTTTGAGATTCAGTTGTTGTGGTTTGAGATTCAGTTGATGTGGTTGTGGCTTCAGTTGTTGTTGTAGCTTCAGTAGTTGTGGTTGTAACCTCAGTTGTTGTGGTTGGAGCTTCAGTTGTTGTTGTTGGAGATTCAGTTGTTGTGGTTGTGGCTTCAGTTGTTGTTGTTATAGCTTCAGTGGTTGTGGTTGTGGCTTCAGTTGTTGTAGTGGTAGCTTCAGTTGTTGTGGTTGTAAACTCAGTTGTTGTGGTTGGAGCTTCAGATGTTGTGGTTGGAGATTCAGTTGTTGTGGTTGTAAATTCAGTTGTTGTGGTCGGAGCTTCAGTTGTTGTTGTTGCAGCTTCAGTTGTTGTGGTTGAAGATTCAGTTGTTGTGGTTGAAGATTCAGTTGTTGTGGTTGTGGCTTCAGTTGTTGTTGTTGTAGCTTCATTTGTTGTGGTTGGAGGCTCAGTTGTTGTTGTTGTTTCAGCCGTTGTTGTAGCTTCAGCTGTTGTGGTTGTAGCTTCAGTTGTTGTTGTTAACTCGGTTGTTGTTGTCGGATCAGCTGTAACCACAACTTCACTGTATGGAGAGGTTATAGTGTTATTCGCAGCAATGATTATAACAAATGTGACAAAAGATTCACCCGTTTTTAGAGGAGAATTAGAAGGTTCAGGAACTATAAAATATAAAATTTTAATAATAAAAAACATAAAATTATTAATTTTAAAACTTAGTAAATACATATTTAAGTCATTAAAAAATTAAACTTTTGTTTATCCTTATTTCTGATAAATTTGTTAAATTTTTATTAGTTATTTAGTGATTTTAATTTATGCTTAAATCAAAATTTTAAATAGTTGTATGTTTGTTTTAATTTTAGTTTTAGAAAGAATTATTAAAAATTATTTAAAAAAAGATAAATTAACATTTTTTTACATCTTGAGTCATTTTATCTATTAAATCATTTTAGTTTTTGGCAAATAAATATAACTGATAAAGTTCTACAAAATCTACAACACTTTCACATATTTAAAACTGTTTATAAACTACTAACTTTGTAGGTTACTCTTGGTGGAAAACATTCTCTGTCATTTCTAATTAATAAGAGAGTACCACAAGTATACATCCTAGGTTCCATTCTACTTTTTATCAATGCTCCGCATATATTATACTTAATATTTTAGATTTCTTTTTTATCAATTAATAATTTTTTCTTACAACTTAAAAGTTTTTTTTGTTGATGATGTAACTATATGTTCGAATACTGATGATGTCAGCACTTTTTAATTGCTATGAATAGAGCACTAATCATAGATGATCTTCTTGGTTTGTCTGTTTAATTTAACAAACCATAAGCACAAAAAAAGATTAATTTTTGAGTAAAAATTAGAATACCAGATTTTATTGGAAATCTTTATTATGTCAAGAGCTAATGCTCTAACTCAACTGCATTCATCTAACACAAAATAATTAATTTTTAGAAAGCCTTTTCAATTAAATTTGATTAAGTTTAATCTTAAATGCTTTTATATTATCCAAAGGCTTTTCAATGAAGTAACAAAATATTAATAATAATAAATATTAACAAACTTTTGTTTTTTTATTTATATAATTATGTATTTTTTATGAGAAATGTTTATCTTTTGAAACATATTAAATGAAAAAAAAAAAAAGAACAAATGTTAAAACAAAGAATAAAATAATTTTTTAATGTGTAAATTAAATATACTAAGCAGTAGTTTGATGAGTTTTGTTTTTGTTGGGTTATATATATATATATATATTTTTGTGTTTTTGCTATAACTAAGTACTTTCTTCATTTTCTCTTTCGTTAAGATTTTTTCTTTATACAATTTTTTTTTTAGATAAGTTTAGGTAAGTTTTTGTTGCGCATTTTTCAATTTTGAAAATATGTCAAAAGCCATGATCAAATCATTAAAATGATTTTTTGCGTGGTCATATAAAGACGTGCAATCAAATAATAATAAATAATAAATAATTTTAAGTATAATAAATAAAGATTTAATTTAATCTTTATAATTTTTTCAAAGTAAACGTAAAAAAATACAAACAAATCACTCTTTTAACAGTTAGATAAATGTAGCAGATAATCACAGTTTTTTTATATTTTAAAAAAGATATTTATTTTGTTATTATCATTTAAGTATCAACGATTCAATGATATATTTGTAATTATTTCATTCAATTAAAAATATACAATTGAATATATATATATATGCAATCAAATATCTATATCTATATCTATATCTATATATATCTATATCTATATATATCTATATATATATATATATATATATATATATATATATATATATATATATATATATATATATATATATATATATATATATATATATATATATATATATATATATATTTATATATATATATATATATATATATATATACATATATTCAAATTAAAAAGTTTTTAGAACCAACAGGAAAAACTCTCAAAATATAAAAATTAAAGCTACTTTATGTAGTATAATCTTTTACGTCATTAATTTGTTTATAAAATGAGCTTTTTAAAACCACATTATTTCAAAATGGGGTAATTTGGGGCAGCTAACTTTTTTAGTATCTTATAGAATGATACAAACTCTCTTTAAAAAAAGAATTGGTTTTGCGAAGGAAGTTGAAGGTAAAAAGTCATTATCTTGATTTAAATTTTAAAAATTGCATTTTAAAAGTAAAGGCTAGAGATGGTGTCTTGATAAAAATACTTATCTTGGGCAGATGTCAAACGCATCTGGCTACTGTCTTGTAAAAGGCATCCAAGGCAAAGACATAAAGGGTAAACAGATTTTAACTGTTGACCAGCCCCGCACTCCTTCTTCATCTATTAGGCTGGCACAGATTTATTTATAATACATTGTTTCCAGTTTAGGAAATGTCTAATGATGGATCTTCTTGACTTAATGATGGGTCTTGCTTGTGTCTCTGTTTTTATGACAAGGCAACTCATTCTATTATCTCCTAATAAGGGTATAGCTCTAAAACTCAGTTTTATGGTTCTAAGGTCGGCTGGTACTCTGGTTTCCTGAGCTCTGGGATAGCTCTCAGAGAGGCTGATTTCATAAACAGCTGTAAAATATCAGAGTACTAACAGTGCCATGTTGTGCATAGATGGTGTCCCTGTTTTTACTTTCAGTGTGCATTGTCGAGGCCACATTTGGAGGCCTTTGTAACGGCTTAAGGTTTAGTAATAGTAATGAGGCAATTGCTTGGACTATTAAATAGTGTACTGAGTAATATCTATGCTTTGAATCAAGTTCCTTAACAAATTTAACTAATATTTGTGGTCTACGAAGTAGACCACAAATATTAGTAAAAAATCTTATTAAAAGTAGTAACTTTTATTCTGTTGAGTCTTATCTCTTTGAAAGTTCACCAGACCTACTTGCTCTTTGTGAGACTAATTTGAGTTTGGCTGTCTCATCTTGTGATCTTAGTGTTGATGTTTATCTTTGTAAAGACTCCAACAGTCACATGCTTGGCTTGGGCATTTACATTTGTAAGAATTCACCCATTTGTCGGGAAACTAGGTTTGAATCCACAGACTATTCTTTTATGTGCTTTCATTTACAACCACTTAACTCTATTGCCTTTCTCTTTGTTCTATTCTGCTCTCCTTCATCTCAAAACTGCACTCTTTTTGATGTTGTTTCTAATCAAACTAACCAAGCCCTCTCTTTTTATCCATCAGCAAATATTGTTGTTGTTGGTGACTTCAATGCTCGTCACACAGAACGGCTTGGCTTTAGTGCCAGTGACTCTGCAGGTGTGAAGGCCTACAACTTTAGTCTTTCTCAACCCATAACTTAAAAAGTCAACTTTTCATCTCATTTTCCAGACAACCAGAACCATTTCTAGTTGACTTAAGTCTTGTTTCTGATCCTAGTTAGTTTCTCAACATTCACCCTTAGGTGCTTCTGATCACGGTTTGATCTCTCTAAAACTATTATCTTATTCTTCTTCATCATCAGAATCCCCCTACCATTGTACCTTTTACAACTACTTTAAAGCTGACTGGGACTCTTTCTGTGATTTTATTTGTAATGGCCCTTGGGTAGAAATCTTTTGTCTTTGTGCTGACAAATGTGCTTCTTACATAACTTCTTGGATTCAGGCTGGCATGGAATCTTTTATTTCCTCTTGACAATTTCGAGTCGATCCTCACTCTTCTCCATGGTTTACCTCTCATTATGCTGCTGCGGTTTTCAATTGAAACCATTACTTTTATATCTATCAGCAAAACAATTCTCCAGGAAACAGATATCTGTTTAATATTGCTAAAAGCCATTAAAAAAAGGTGTGGTCTAATGCCAAAGCTTGCTATTCTCAGGTCATGAAATCTCGTATTTTATCTCAAAAAAGGCTCTTGTAACTTCTGGAGAATCTTTAACAGTATAAATAATAAAAGCAAATCTGTTATTCCACCTCTCTTGTATGGTTCAGATTTTGTCACCTCAGCTAAAGACAAAGCTGAATTGTTTGCTAAGAACTTTTCATCAATATCAACTCTTGATTCCACTAGTTGTGTTCTACCTAATATTGTCAACAAACAGATTGATCCATTGCTTTACATTGGTAATACTCCAACCTCTGTATCTAAAGTGATTTCCTGCTTAGACTCTTCTATAGCTTGTGGTCCAGACTACATATCTGTTGTAGTCTGGCAGAAGTATTCTCCGGAGCTGTCATCTATACTTTCAAAACTATTTAAGAAGTGCTTATTGGAGTCATGTTTTTGGGCATGCAGGAAAGCGGTATCTGTTATCCCTATTTTCAAAAATTCTGGAGAGCAATCTGACTTATCTAACTACCGCCCCATTAGTCTTCTTCCTATCATAAGCAAGTTATTGAATCTTTAATTAACAAACACTTAATCTCTCATCTTGAATTTAATAACTTACTTTCTGATCATCAATATGTATTTAGATCTTCTTGTTCTACAGCTCATTTGTTAATGGTGATAACCATTAGGTTTTATTGTACATTAGATAATGGTGGAGAGATTAAGGCTATTGCTCATGACATTTCTAAAGCTTTTGATAAAGTTTGGCATGCTGGTCTTCTCCATAAGCTCTCTTATTACAGTATATCAGGTAACATCTATAAGATTATTGAATCCTTCCTTTTCAATCGTAGTATAAATGTTTTCATTGATAGAAAGCACTTTTGTTGATATCCTGTAACTTCAGGGGTTCCTCAAGGTTCGATCCTTGATCCTATACTCTTTTTAATTTACATTAATGATCTTCCAGATATTGTCACATCTAAGGTGTCATTGTTCACTGATAATACAACAATTTATTTTTGTCATGATAAGAAACTATCGCTTGAAGGGGGCATTTGAGCTTGAAAAGGATCTCACTTCTGCTACAGCATGGGGTTTACAGTGGCTAGTGAACTTTAATTCAGATAAAACTCAACTTTTTTTAGCAAGCGTTACCACAATAATTTTGATCTTCCTATATTTATGAACAGTGATGTACTCGATGAGTCATCTACCCTTAATCTTCAAGGATTAACTCTTACTTCCAATCTTTCTTAGAACCCATATATCAAATCTACTGCGAAATTAACATCTACTAAGGTTGCATCTCTTTATTATGCTTAACACTTTCATACTCCGGATTCTGTTTTTTA